AGGAAAAGGTAAGGGAAGTAGCAAGTAGAAGAATGTTTCTGTTAGTAGCAAAAAGCTAACGGAGAGCCAGGACCTGAGCACCTTGGGGAACTTTAGGATTAAGAAAAAAGACAACTAGAAAGGCTGAAATATGGGGCCACAGAGAGAGGGACCCAGGCAAGGCCTGGCCACACCCAACTAAAGGTTATGGGTGTGACGCTCACCCACACCATCCCTGTAAGGCTGGATGAAAGTAGGGCTTACGCCATAGTTCCAGAAGAATGTGCTTTTTAACCATCTAAGTGCCGGCCAAGAGCATGTTCATGAACATGTCCTCTCCTGGTTTGGACCTGACTCCGGGGCCATGTCCTTGTGTGGGGGCTAAGCAGAGTCGGCTCTCAGGGGTCCCAGAGCATGTCTGCAGCATTCCAGACAGCACGTCCCACGCAGATGCCTTTGTCACAAGGAATCCAACATTGTTGTGGGCGAGAGCAACACCTTCAGAACTGGGCAGACTGCAGAGACCACCAAACCCTATTCCCCACCCCTCATCCCTGCTGGCACCCCACGCTCAGGGGCCCCCATTTGGGTCAGGAGGGTGGGTGTGCCCAGAGGAAGGGAAGGGCAGGTGGGTGGGGGCTCGAAGCCCAGCTCTAGGGTATGGTTCCTGTGACACCTTGGGCTGGTTACCCAGCCTCTCCGCGCTTACACTCTCTTCTGAGCACAGTGGTTCTCAATCCTGGCTAGAGTCGCTTGCTCAACTTCAAAACACAACCATGCCCGGGCCCAAAGCCAGGCCTATAGAATGAGACTCTCTAGGTGTAAAACCGGGGAACTGGGAACTTAGAAACGTCTACAGTGCATGTCCATCTTTTCTAATTTGCTTCCAGTCTGCCGACTTGGCCACTAGATAATGAAGCTTATTAGGATGGAGTGGGCGGGGGGAGGAGGGGGTGAGGGGGCAGGGAGAGGGGTAGTGATGAGGACAATTCCATGTGGCTCTGCAATGCAAAGAGGAGCCACAGGAGCAAATTACAAGGAGGCGGGTTTGGGTTCAAGACTAGGAGGAAAATTCTAACTGTTCCTGCAATGCCTCTTCTGGAATGGCCTTCATGACCAGCCTATGAACCACACAAGATGATCAGTCATGCGTAAATTTATATTGAACGCGTCTAATACTGCCAAACGGGATGAAGTACCTAGTTTAGAAGACTTCGCTCAAAATAGCTTTTGGCTGCTTCCAAAAATCAAATCCAAGAGTTACTGCGTTGCCTCTTTTATTTATTTTTTAAATATACTTTTTATTGATTTTAGGGAGAGGAAGGGAGAGGGAAAGACAGAAACATCAATGATGGAAGAGAATCATTGATCAGCTGCCTCCTGCATACCCCCCACTAGGGGGGCTGAGCCTGCAACCCAGGCATGTACACTGACCAGGAATCAAACTGTGACTTCCTGGTTCATAGGTCAATGCTCAACCACTGAGCCACATAGGCTGGACTGCGTTGGCTCTTACAGCAAGTTCCTTAACCTCTCTGAGCACCCTGGCTTCTTCCCTAAGCCAGTTGCGAGGATTACCCACACGCCTCACTGTGGTGAGAGTTGAATGACATTAGGAAGTGAAAGTTCCTGATTTCCCTGGTTGAACCTGAATGAAGGTGACTCCTCACACCATTGGTCAGGATCTGATAGGACAACATTCATTTCGAGTTCTGGAGTCATTCTAACCCTGGAGTGGAGAGCTCTGGGCCAGGCTTCCACTCCCAGCTTTGCCACCAGGAGTGACACACGTGACCTCTCTGAACCTCGATTTCCTCGTCTATTAAGAGGGCTATGAGGGTCCAATGGGAAATTCTCATAAAGCTCTTAGCAGAGTCTGCCATTTGGCCAATGCTCCACCAGTGTTGATGCCTTGTTATCATCGTCACCCTTGAGGTAAATCTATGGCCTGCCTAGCGGCCTGTTTGGAAGGAGACAAAGTTATGTGGATGCGTAAGTCTGGTTGCTTGTTATGGAAGCAGCCTCACCACTGTGTCCACAGCTCACCTGTGTTGGCTAAGTTCCATTCCAGACCCAGGTTCTGGGCTCAGGAGCTCTGCTCCTGCTGAGCCTGTCTGGGCACGAGAACAGAAGCCAAGACAAGTGTTTGCTTTGGAACAAAGAAGGGACAAGGATGGATTTCTGGAGGCGCCCGCCAAGTCCGAGAAAGGAGTCATGTGTTTCTCATAAAATGGAATGCTGGGAGTGGATCCATTTTCCTGAACTGTCTGGGGTAGTTTGTTACCAGCCTGGCCAGGGCTTGTGTGGGTCGGGAGAGGGACTGCAGTAGGACCAGGGCCCACCACAGCCAGGCCTAGACTTGAAAATAGACTTAAATTTCTTTTGAGTCTTCAAAGGTTAGTCTAAAAATATTTCTAAGTTCCTATGCTCTGCTCCGTAACTGGACGTGTGTGTGTGTGTGTGTGTGTGTGTGTGTGTGTGTGTGTGTCTGGGGGCGGTGAGGGCGTGGCTGTGGATGGGGAAGGTGTCCAGGTGAGCAATCCTGAGTCACTGGTTCTGGGAAACACTGCTATAGCCCTGGTTTAAATTTCTAAGGGCTCTTTAACTTCTCCTGTCCCTCAGGATAGGATTCAAGAAACTGCTGTCCTGATGCAGCTGAAAGTAGCAGCCTGATTGCAAAGCCCCGCCCTCCCCTCCCACTCCCGTGCAGCGCAGAGCCCTGCCTGGGACAAACCCACAAGGCCAAGGTGCTTTTTCCAAGGGGGTTTGCTTCTCCCTGTTGAGCTCTCATGTTCATGCTTTGCTTCTAACACCACCACCATTTCATTACATTTTACAGACATACAGACATACATGGCACCCACAGCTCAGTTTTGTGTTTAGTTTACTTATTTATCTTCTAAATGTTGTTATTAGAGTCAAGGCATGGACTAGAGAGGCTCAGAGGCTCTGCCGAATGCTGATATTCCCCGAAGTATTTTGTGCTGCTTGGCGCTGAGGGGACAGTTCATGGCAAAGGAGGCAGGAAGGCTCCCCTTCATCACCCCTTCAATACCTGCCCCCCTCGTGGGGGCAGTGGTGCGGGGAGATGAGGTTGCCACAGCTTGTTGCAAGTGGAAGGTGGATGCCAGGGCTGTCGGTGCCACATCTCTCAACAGCTCCAAATTACGGCCCCAGGATTTGGATGGAAAGAACTGGGAAGTGTGGAGAGACAGAACCCGTAACACCTGCTGCTGAATGAGGACTGTGTGTCAGGAGGAACCACTGACCTCATTGCTGTGCCCCTAGGGCCCATGGGAAGGTCTGGTCAGGTGACCTGTCTACCTTTGCCAAGAATGACCATCTTGCTAGGGAAGGGTAAGAATCAAATGCTTAGTGAGCTCATTCTGTGAACCAACATTGAGCTAAGAGCTTGACACACATTCGCTCATGAAATCTTCACTGCAACTATGAGAAATAGGTATTCTCCCAGGGGAGGGGAAACAGAGACTCAGGCTGAACATTAGCCAGGATAGGCTAGGTTGCCTTGCGGTAACAAACAGCTCCAAGAACCTCATGGGTTTTATGTAATTAGAGTGTATTTCCGCAAAGCCGCACCCATGTCAAAATTTCAAAATGTACATTGCTTCACCAAATCCCTGAAACACCATGAAGAAGCAAGCAGGGCAAATTTCATAGCCCCATTTCTCGAACCCCACAGCTCAAGAAACTGAAAACGCAAAGGTGAAGAAACTTGACATGCTCAGAGCTAGTCACTGAAATACCCAGACTCAAGCCTAGTGCTTCTGAAGCCTGATTTGAAGTTCTTCCCGATACGTCCAACTCCCTGTCATTTTAGTCTCTGGCAAGATGATGATTCTTTGCTTTCCCCCAAATTATCTCCTCTCCTCTACCTGCTCACTAATACAACCCCATCATCGGGACATCCTGCCTTCACTGGGCCCTGCTCTGGGGGAAGTCATCATCAATGTGTACAAAACAGCTCAAAGTGTCACAGTGTGAGGCCCTGGCCAGGTAGCTCAGTTGGTTGGAGCATCATCTCAATATGCCAAGGTTTTGGGTTCAATCCCCAGGCAGGGCACATACAAGAAAGAACCAAGGAATGCATAAGTAAGTGGAATAACAAAGAAGTGTTTTCTCGCTGTCTCTCAAAAATAAAAATAAATTTAAAAACAAATGTATCATTGTATAGCCTTAAGTTTAAGAACATCTAAGACAGAATTCAGAGAACAGAGAATTAGGGCAAAGGGGAGGGCCCAGGAAGGCCGCACTGAGAAGTGCTGACCTTGATAAGATGTGGGAATTCATTCCAGGTGAAAATTCCCTCCTCATTCTCTTTCCTCTGTTCTACTGCAGTTTAAAATGTGCAGCGCCTTCCCGTTTACTATTGTTCCTGGACAAGTCTGTTAGTGGACTGAGAAGTTGGTCACGTCTTTTTTCCCTTTTGACCAAAAACGGAAACCTAGAGAGGATAGAGTGACTTTGCTAACATGAGAGCAAACCAGGGCCTGAACTGGAATAAAGAAGCAAAAATGTTACAGAGTAATAATCATCAATCCGTTGTGTGTATGTGGTTAAACTTAGAGCTACCTGGTGGTGTATAAATTAATATCTTTTACAAAAATCAAGTTTTTAGTATGAAATATTTCATATATAATGGAGTTTATATAATGCATATATAATATTTAGAATAATAAAATGCTATATCTACCACCCGGCTTATTACCAATGTTCTAAAGCATAAAGTCACTTTAAATTATAAAAATGGGCCTTGCCAGTATGGCTCAGTGGTTGAGCATTGACCCATGAACCAGGAGGTCAGGGTTTGATTCCTGGTCAGGGCACATGCCCAAGTTATCAGCTCTATCCCAGTAGGGGGAGTGCAGGAGGCAGCTGATTGATGATTCTCTCTCATCATTGATGTTTCTATCTCTACCTCTTCCTTCCTCTCTCTGAAATCAATAAAAACATATATTTTTTAAATTTATAAAACTGATATATACTCACCTTAGCTGCTTTGGCTCAGTGGTAAGAGCATGGGCCCACAGACTGAAGGGTCTCAGGTTCGATTCCTGTCAAAGGCAAGTTGCAGGTTCCATCCCTGGCCCCAGTTGGATGTGTCTCACATAGATGTTTCTCTCTCTCTCTGTCTCTCCCCCTCCCTTTCATTCTTTCTAAGAATCAATGGGAAAAATATTCTCAGGGGAAGATTAACAACAACAACAAAAGATATATAGTCTTGGTACAAAATTCAAATCATGCAGAAGATGGAAACTTTAAAGTCCCTTTTCCCATCCTGTCGAACTCTGAATTGCACTCCCCAGGGAAAATGGCTGTTAACAACTGAACACATGATCGTATATATATTCATTTTGGAAAACAATCCAGCAATATATATCAAGAGCCATAAAAACGTCTATAGCTTTTGGTCCTGTCACCCCACTGTAGGCATTTACCCCAGGAAAAGACCTCCTAGGTTTCCTTCCCTTCTGAGAGACGGTCAAGCTCATTACCACACACATCTCTTTCCCGTTGCTGTTTCCTCTGTCTAGAACTCTGTCCCCCCAGATTTCCTCATAATTGAGTGTCCATTTAAGTCTCAGCTCAAATGTCACCACCTCTGAGAGGCTGCCCATAGTCAGGCATCTAGACTTGCTCCCTCTCCCCAGAAACCACCTGGCACACAGTAGGAATGCAGATCTTAGTTGAGGGGATAAATGTGCACTCACAAAACCACCACCTGATCTATTAGGGAAGGGATGTTATTTGACTCACCTTGGAACCCAGGCAGCTGCTCCTGTAAAGAAACCATTCATACTGGCTTCACCAAACAAGAAAAGCCTGTGGGAGGTCTGGCCGGCCTGGGGCTGTCCTGCCAGTCATTTCTTCCGGCTGAATGGCTGCCTTTCAGATGTAGATACTGCATGGAGGCATTCTAACCTAAAGCCTTTTCATTCTTGGCTTCTAAAAACAAAGAAGAGGTAGAGAAAATCCGTGAGTGAGAGTCTCTGTCAGAAGAACACCTAGGCCCTCGTTAATTAGGATGAATAATTGAACACTCTCAAGTCAGACAATGGAAACATTAAGAGTTTCCACCAAAACATAAACTTGGCCAAGTGGGCGGGGTGTCCAGAAGTCTCCAGAACACTGGGGGTCGGAGGGACTTCTTATAAAGCCTAGGGGTAGAGGAAAGATGGGTGAAAGAGACCTAGATCCCTACCCAAGCCCCCGAACATTTGCTAGGTTGCCTGGGCTGAGTAACTCTAACTTTTTTCCTTATAGAAAAATAAAACATGTTTCTATAGAGGGGTTAAAACAAAAATTAAAACCTACCATCTAGAAAGACAATATTGTTATAGTGTTTCCTTGTAGTCTTTTTTTTCTTAGCATACTTTAAAAGGTAAACTGTGATTATATTATGTACTGTCTTATAAACTTTTTTTCACTTAATAATATATTGTGAACATTTTCCCATGCCATTAAACACTACTTAATGCCGTAATTTTTTAAGACTGTGTGGTATTCCATAGTATGGCTGTATCATCCAACCAATGCCCTGTCAGACATTTAGGTGGTTCCCAATTTTTATAAGCAGCTTATCATTTACTATTTCTTTTCTTTTCTTTTTAAAATATATTTTTATTGATTTAGAGAGAGAGGAAGGAAGAGGGAGAGCTAGAAACATCAATGATGAGAGGTAATCATTGATTGGCTGCCACCTGCACTCCCCCTACTGGGGATGGAGTCTGCAACTCTGACCAGGAATCGAACTGGTGACCTCTCAATACACGGGACAACACTCAACAAACTGAGCTACACTGGCCAGGGCACCCTAAATAAATCCTACATAATAAAAGGCTAATATGCAAATCGACCAAACAGCAGAATGACTAGTCGCTATGATGCACACTGACCACCAAGGGGGCAAATGCTCAATGCAGGAGCTGCCCCCTGGTGATCAGTGTGCTTCCACAGGGGGAGTGTCGCTCAACCAGAAGCCAGGCTCATGGCTGGCAAGCACAGTGGTGGTGGCGGGAGCCTCTCCCGCCTCTGTGGCAGCACTAAGGATGTACGACTGGTGACTTAGCCCGCTCCCTGTGGCGGGGAGCGGGCCTAAGCCATCAGTCAGACACCCCCCAAGGGCTCTTGGACTGAGAGAGGGTGCAGTCTGGGCTGAGGGACACCCCCTGAATGCACAAATTTTGTGCATCAGGCCTCTAGTTTAATAATATAAAAAATAAATAAAGGAAGACCTTGATCTTTCTTGTTCTCTCTCATTAAATATTTATTTAGGTTTTCCACATGTGCATTTGTATTTCATGTGTGCCTTTTATGGCTGGCTACCCAGTAGCCCTTTCTAATCCCCTTCTCCATTTTCTGCTTCCTATTATGGACAATGAAAAAGCCAACTTTCACTTTCCCAGACTCCCTAGCAGCTAAGGGTGGCCTGTTGAGAACCAAGGAGACATTTGTTATTGGGATGTGGGAGCCTTTTTTCCCTTTCTCTCTCTCCCCCCAACCCCCTAAAAAAAAACTTTTTTTTTTTTAATATATATTTCTTTATTGACTTCAGAGAGGAAGGGAGAAGGAGAGAGAGAGATAGAAACATCAATGATGAGAGAGAATCATTGATTGGCTGCCTCCTGCACACCTCCCACTGGGGAACGAGCCCGCAACCCAGGCATGTGCCCTTGGCCGGAATCGAACCTGGGACCCTTCAGTCCACAGGCCGACGGTCTATCCACTGAGCCAAGCCGGCCAGGGCCACCAAAAAACTCTTATCACCTTGGCCCTGTCTATGTGACAGCCGTCTTAGAATCATGAGGCAAAAGCTTAAGGATTTAAAAAGAAACCTCTATCATATAAGCATAACCAATGGACGCAGACACCAGGGGGGTGAAGGCACGAATGGGAGTGGGGGAGGGTGGCAATAGAGGGATAAGGACACATATGTAATACCTTAATCAATAAAGAAAAAGAAAGAAAGAAAGATAGAAGAAAAAAAATAAATAAAGAATAAAAAGAAACCTCTGGTAATGGTTAGTCCTCAATTACATCCGGGGATCAGGGGGCTGCGGTACCTATACTGGAGCTGCTCTGGAATCTAACTCCCAAAATAATAACTTTATGGTTTACGTTAGTGGTTTTCAAAGTTAGTGGTTAACAAATTAGAATCACCTAGGAATTTTGTTAAGCTAAGATTGTGAGATTCTGTATTGTTAGCAAGATCCCAGTTGATCTTGCCGCCGCTGGTTCAGGGACCGCACTTTGAGTAGCAAGCATCATTGTTACACTGAGCTGGACATGTCCAAACTGACACATCCTTTTCCTGGATGTGAAGGTCACCCTCCTTATTTCACAGGTGCAAGTATAGGGAGCCCTCTGGGAGCAATAAGACAGCCAGGAGGGCCCTCCCTGCCAGGGGTCCATTAGCCACTGTGGCACCAGCCCCCAGCTGGTGGGTTCCTAAGTTACTGCATCACCCAGGGATAAGCCAAGTCCTGTTCATGAGGCTGTGGAGTATTTGTGGAGGTGCTGCCCTGTGCTCGCTACCCTAGTCAGGCCACTTTGTCCAACCAGACCCACAGGGGCAGATTCCTCCTGAAGCAAAAGGGACTCTAACTAGCGCTCATCCTTTTTTGGGGACCTGCCTCCACCAGCTTCTCCTCAGCTACACTCCAGGTAATGAGCGGAGGGGCACTTCAGGTAGCATCTTTCTGTTGGGTTACTAAGAGCCAGGTCTCCAAAGACAGTGGCGGTGAAACTTCAGGCCAGAGAGAAAGGATACCTGCAGGAGCCTCCTACGGACTCATCCACGGATTTATCCTTGCTTTTCTCTTTCCTTCCAACCTCAGGAAGACTGCGGCTTTCCTACTGACACACAGTGCCTGCCTCTCTGCTCTGCGCTCTGAAACCCTGAGCAAGGTCACAGTGGCCACAGGATTCTCCTCCTTCTCCCTGCAGGTCCCGCGGGCCCGCCTGTGGCTCCATTTCTCTGTTCCCTGGTAAACCACATCCCTCAGATTGATTTGTCGGTTCTTGTACCTCCGTCTCCTGGGGTCCCTTCACTCCTGTCCTCACTCTCATCAGGCCTAAGTCCTCGCCACCTGCTGAAGCTCTCTAGTCAAGGCCACCATGACCTCCAACTTGCCAATCTAAGCATTTCAGGGTCAGTCCCTGTCTCACCTCTGACTGCAGCTTTGGGCACAGTGAGGGCCTCCCTCTTTCCTGTCTGTCTGGTTACCTTTTTCAGCTCCCCCCTCCCCCCCCCGCCCCCCCCTCCCCCTTGCCCAGATCATCCTTTCCTCTTTTTCAGTCTCCTGGGCTGGTTCAGCCCCCTCTTCTGGACCTCTCCAAGTGGAGGCCCATGGCTCAGCGTTCACTCCCTGTCCCTTCCCTTCTAAGTGTCCCCAGGGATCCCATCTCTCCCACAGCTGCCAGTTCCATCTACAAGCTGTTGAAATGGGTGTCACCAGTCTTACCTCCCCTCCGTGACCCTCACCCCAGGTCCATCAGCCTCACACCTCCAGCTGCACACTCAGCGTCTCCCCTAGGGTGCCTGACAGACACCTCAAAGAGAATTCTTTTTTTCTTTCTTTTTTTTTAAAAAATATATTTTATTGATTTTTTACAGAGAGGAGGGAGAGAGATAGTTAGAAGCATCAATGAGAGGGAAACATCGATCAGCTGCCTCCTGCACATCTCCTACTGGGGATGTGCCCGCAACCAAGGTACATGCCCTTCACCGGAATCGAACCTGGGACCTTTCAGTCTGCAGGCCGACGCTCTATCCACTGAGCCAAACCGGCTACGGCAGAGAATTCTTAATATATGTATTTTTATTGATTTCAGAGAGGAAAGGAGAGGGAGTGAGAAATAGAAACATCAATGATGAGAGAGAATCACTGATTGGCTGCCTCCTGTGTGGCCCATACTGGGGATGGAGCCCGCAACCCAGGCATGTGCCCTGACTGAGAATCGAACCTTGACCTCCAGCTTTATGGGCCTACACTCAAAAGACCCTGGAGCGGCACTGAGACTGTGAGATATGCTGATGCCTGGGCCCCGGCCCTGGAGCTCCTGACTTGGCTGGTCTGGCTGCGAGCGTCTCTGGGAGGGGTGAGTCACTCAGTGCCGTGAACAATGCGGCCTGGCGGGTGTTTCTGAAGGAGCCCGGTGCCAGGCCCTTGCTGGCTGCTTGGAAATACAAAGGGATGTGATTTCTCAGAGTTTCCATTCGCCTTGGAAAGCCAGACTCAGGAAGTGAGCTCAGGGTTCTGGGGATGAAGTGCAGGGTGAGGGGAGGAAATGGCTGCCGTGAGGGGCGTCTACACTGTGCCAAGCCTGCTCCGTTGGTTCAATCTTTCCTGCAAACCTGTGTGTTGGTGTAAAAAGGACCCAGGTGGTCACCCAGGCGTTTGGCCCTGGAGGGCTGGGAGACCTTGGACGCTTGCTGCCCAGGTTAGGATCCCACCAGCCCACCCGCCTGCCCCCAGTCCTCCGTTTCCATGTGCCCCAGGTACAGACCTTGGACTTTGAGTCTGAGCTCCCGCCCGGGGCTTCTCCAGCCCTTTTCTTCATCCTGGGACAGTCAGGCCAGGTGACCTTTACAGCCAATGACCTTCATAGATTTGGGGCTTGGTACCTAGGAAGCCAGTGGAGCTTGGCTGGCTGCATGCTAGAATCACCTGGGGAACCTTTGAAAATGCCGCTTAGCCCTGGCAGGTTAGTTCAATTGATTAGAGCCTTGTCCCGATTAGCCAAGGTTGTGGGTTCAATTCCAAGGTCAGGACATGTTCAAGAAGCAACCAATGAATGCATAAATAAGTGGAACAACAAGTTGATCTCTCTCGCTCTCTCCTTCCTCTCTTTCTCTCTAAAATCTATTAAAAATTATTTTTAAAAAATTAAAATGCCCTATTAACTTAAAATCTCTGGCAGTAGGACCCAAGCATCAATACTTT